TGGCCATCCTGGAGGCCACCACGCGCCACGAGCCCGAGGGGACACCTGGAGAGGTGGGGACACCTGGGGACACCTGGGGAGGTGGGGACAGGGACATGGGGACACCTGGGGAGGTGGGGACACCTGGGGACACCTGGGGAGGTGGGGACAGGGATGGGGACACCTGGGGAGGTGGGGACAGGGACATGGGGACACCTGGGGAGGTGGGGACACCTGGGGACACCTGGGGAGGTGGGGACAGGGACATGGGGTACAGGGGGATGCCAGGTGTGCACAGGGGGACATTTGGGGATGGGGTCACACCTGCTCAGGTGTGCACAGAGGGACATTTGGGGACAGGGCACACCTGCCCAGGTGGGCACAGGGGGACATTTGGGGACATCTGGACTGTGGGACATTTGGGGACGGGGTCACACCTGCACAGGTGGGCACAGGGGACATTTGGGGACGGGGTCACACCTACCCAGGTGTGCACAGAGGGACATTTGGGGATGGGGTCACACCTGCCCAGGTGGGCCCAGGGGGACATTTGGGGACATCTGGACTGTGGGACATTTGGGGATGGGGTCACACCTGCCCAGGTGGGCACAGAGGGACATTTGGGGACATCTGGACTGTGGGACATTTGGGGATGGGGTCACACCTGCCCAGGTGGGCACAGGGGACATTTGGGGACAGGGCACACCTGCCCAGGTGGGCACAGGGGGACATTTGGGGACAGGGCACACCTGCCCAGGTGGGCACAGGGGGACATTTGGGGACGGGGTCACACCTGCCCAGGTGGGCACAGGGGGACATTTGGGGACGGGGTCACACCTGCCCAGGTGGGCACAGGGGGACATTTGGGGACATCTGGACTGTGGGACATTTGGGGACGGGGTCACACCTGCCCAGGTGGGCACAGGGGACATTTGGGGACAGGTCACACCTGCCCAGGTGTGCCGAGTCACCCGGCGCCCCCCGCTGACACCCATGGGTGCCCCAGGAGAAGCCGCCGAAGCGCCCGAGCGACGCCGAGCCCAAAGCCAAGGGGGGTCCCGCGGCCCCGGGGGGGGGTCCCGCCTCGGGGTCCCCTC